GTGCAAAAGTGACCAGAACAGTTTGTTTAAAAAAAGGAGGTGGGGTTAAAGTGTCCATATGTCCTGACAGTTCCGGAGAATCACATCAGACATCAAAACCTGAGACCCAACGTTTTTCATCGTCAAACTGGTGTCGGATTAAGCTCCTAAATTAGGGCTATTCAACTAAACTGCTACGTCAGAACTTTATCGGTAAATGTGTTTCCATCTCTGCTTTTGCGCATTTACTGTATTACAGGATGGGGAAATTGGTCTTGGTTGAGGTTTGCACTCTCCGAGTGCTTCAGGTTATTCATATTTTTCATGTGTGTTAGTAGGTCAGAATAAAGGTTTTGTGGAAATTTAGACTATGCGATTTCCCACCSTCAACAACTTTTGCTAAGTACAAAACCTACATTTTCACAAAAACAATCAACATAAAATAACAAAAAAAAAATCATAAATACTATGTGTTAGGGAGGCCTTAGGAATGAAATGCATGCACCTATTTTACAGGGAAACACTTGGGATTGAATTTGGAACTAAAACCCTGTGTGTTASTGTTTTGTACGGCTCATCTTTTCTTTCCTTCACCTCATTTTTTGAGAAGTTATTTTCCTCACTCGTTCATTTGCCAGCATGAGTCAACGCTTTATGTGTTTCTTCCTCCTGAAACTGCTCCTGCTTCCTCTTCCTCACAGAACACAAAGAACACAGCAGACAGATCCTTCTACACCTTGGYTTTTGTTGTCTCTATACGAAGTGAGGAAACCACAGACGACCAGCTCAGTCAGAAATAATAGCTGCCCTATTTCCAACAGCTGTTGCATCTCATGTGTTGCAGCAAACATCTGGACTGAAAACCAGATATATTTATAGGCAACAATTTGATCAAGCATCAAAGTTACGTGAGCACTTTGGTTTTAGTTTTCCGCTGCTGCCGCTGAACATTATCAAGCTGTGTCTAATAACTTCACAKCTTGTTTTCACAGGCAGGGAAAAGAACACGCTGCTACATTAGCACTATCTAATATTTGCAAATAGCATGACTGAAAGCTGATAAGACAACATCGTTTTGAGAGCTGGGATTATCTTCAAAAAAGAATTTTAGTAATTGTTTTCGGGTAAATTTAACTAAAATCTTTTCATGGGAAACAGAAAGAAAACGGCCACAAACAAATTTACCCACAAATAAACACAAAAATGCTTCACCGAGTTAAAGACTTCAGAATGCAGTTGTGAAATTAGGGGATGKAGATGTGAAGAGACCTCCCAGTCAGCTGATTGTAAACTCTTAACACATCTAAAGGAAGCAGTCGACATCAGCTCAGACCACAACTGAGTCAACAGCAGAGGACTGACTGAGCTGCAGGTAAGGTTTAGTTAAACAATCTTATCTGACACCGAACATCATTTACCCTAAAGATATCGGTTTACTGAACTTGTTGAAAAATTATGCTTCGTGTAATTAAATTCTGTTTATTTACTTTTTAATTTTTAATTTTTTGCTTTGTTTGTTTACAGAAACATCTCATTTCTCTGAAGGTTAAAATGGAAATGGATGATGATTATATTATTGACTATGACTACGAAGAACCCGCCAACACCACTCTATCTGAGGTGGGCACACAACAACCYGGCCAAACCTGTTTAGGCGACGGCATGTGTGTGTTTCTGATTGCAATCACTGTGGTCATTTTCCTGCTGGGCTTCTTTGGGAACGGTTTGGTCATCTGGATCTCTGGCTTCAAGATGAAGAAGACGGTCAACACCACGTGGTACCTGAGCCTCGCCATCTCCGACTTCCTCTTCTGCGCCTTCCTMCCGATCAGCATCACCGCCATGGTGATGGAGGAGTGGATCTTCGGCCTCTACATGTGCAAATTCACATCCTCAGTGATGTTCCTCAACATGTTCAGCAGCATCTTCCTCCTCGTCGTCATCAGCGTAGACCGCTGCGTGTCAGTTGTGTTTCCGGTTTGGGCCCAGAACCACCGCACTCTTCAGAAAGCATCAGTAGTTGTCATTTTGTCTTGGCTTCTCGCCATCGTGATGAGCATTCCGTCGATTATCTTTAGAGATACAGGCACTCAAATGGGTCACACAGTCTGCTACAATAATTACACATCATACCCAAATGGTCACCGGGTTATTGCAATGAGCCGCTTCGTCGTAGGCTTTCTCATTCCTTTCATCTTCATCATCTTCTGCTACACTATCATTATCCTCAAACTTCGAAACAACAGGATGACAAAGTCCTCCAAACCWTTCAAAGTGATGACCGCCCTCATAGCTACTTTCTTCATGTGCTGGCTGCCGTACCACGTCTTCATTCTGATGGAGCTGAACCACCACAAATATAACCTGGAGCTCCTGACGACTGGACTCAAAGTGGGCATGATTTTAGCCACRGCCAACAGCTTCCTCAATCCCGTGCTTTACGTTTTTATGGGCAACGACTTCAAGAAGACGCTCAAGAGCTCCGTTCTGTCGAAGATGGAGAACGCCATGGGAGAGGAAGGTCCCACCATCAGCCGGTACCTGTCCAGATCCAGCTCAGTGGACACCAGAGCCTCCACACACATTTAGAAACATAGACTTCAAAACTGCTCATTTTCCAATCATATTTGTATAAAAACGTTTTTTTAATGCTAAACTATAAATATCCACAGCAAAAAAGAAAAAAATGATCCTTTCTTCAGCAGAAAAGATAGGTCACTGAAGAACAACTCACTCATCAGTTTCAGACCACTGTTTATAGAAACATTATCTGTACATAGATTGTTTGTAAAAAAAAAAAAAAGCTTTGATATGTGGTATCAATTTTATATAATCTTTAAATGTTCTATCTGAAATTATAAAAGCATCACTCATTCTGTCCAGAGTAAAATCAAATATTTTTAACTGTTAAAAATGACACGTGTGTTTGAAATCTTTTTTCTTCAATGCAGAAAAAAAAACTGAATTCAACAATTTYGTTTGTTCGGATTTGTTGTAAAATGCTTTTCTGACTTTTAAAGGAAAATATGAACCAAGTACTGCAGCTGTAAGTTGATGTATTGAAAATATACAAAGTATGAGAAGGTCTTCTCACAAGCTCAGAGCCCATTCTGTGTAAAAGAAAAAAAAAAGAAAAAAAAAAGGAAATCATGTGGTTTCATTTACTAAGACATTCACAACTGTGTCTGTGAAGCAATTTTGTGTTTATTTGACCAAAGCGGATCTACCTTGAAAAAAAGGTCAGAGGTTAATTCTCTTCTCTTCTCTTCTTAGAAAAACTGAAACCATAAAACAGTTTGACAAAAAGACTTATGGAGCTATGTGTTTGAATGATGTGAATACAATTTGTGCAATAAATGTTTTGAATGTTTGTTCATTTCTTTTTCTAACAAATGAACTGGAACATTTTTTAACTCTGATGTGAATTTTTATCTATTAAAATTGAGAGATCTTTCACAATTTGAAGCTTTCGCATGAATTAATTTGAGTTTATTTGTAAATTCTTGGTTTGGGAAACAAGCAGCCTATAAAACATCTGTGTGACAATTGAGATTTATTTTAAAGCACTAAAAAGTAAATGTTTTAATTTGCTATATCTTATTTGAATGATAGAAAGAAAAGAAAGACTGAGTGACAGGAAGGGTTTACACCTCACATCCACCCATCACTTTGTCAGTCTGGATGATATAAATTCACTGCAGAACTTCCTGCTACATTTGTCATATCTACCACTGTGGTTTGCTGCTGCTTATTCACYTTCAGCCCCACTCTATGGTCTCTGTGGCCAGTCAGGTCACATCACTCTAAAAGACATRAAGAGGGACATTTTCAGGAAGTTGTGATGGTTGAGATGCTCATATCAGTCTACAATCAAGTTGTAAATGTATTTTACAATTAAAATATTTAAGCGTTATCTGATAGAGTTGAAGTTCTGTCCTAGAGACTCCAAAGTACACAACAAAATGTATTTAACAGCTAAAAAAGTGGATTTTGCACATGTCCCTTTTTAATGTAACAGCAAGCAACTGCATGTTTGGAATATAATATAATATAA